AAGCGTTGCCAAATAACTGCTGAAAACTGTCAAGCAGTAACGTTTGTATTGATGAGTGGTAAAATAAGTGATAACCTAACGTTGGCTTCCCTTCTGTCATGAGAATACAAACTTTACCACAGAAAGCATTGCAGGCTGTTGCATGCTAACGCTGTGTTGACAAGATCAAATATTGAATGACTGCACAATTTTAAGTACACGATTCTAATTCGACAAAACTAACTTAATTTAGCCATTCTTCAAATAACTACCGTTCACATGAATCTAGGATTTTGGGATCAGGTGACAGCGAGAAACACCTAGACGATTTCCTTCCCGAATATCTCCGACCACCAAAGGATCCCTTTGAAGTGAGGTTCACCGCTCACAATGGCAGAAACATGTGACAAGGGTCAAACGTTTAGGAAGAGCCTCGATTTGCCGATTCAACTGCGTTACCAAATTACTTGGGAAATCCAAACTCCATATATCGCCTACGTCCTCATAAAAGCGGTTCACATGGCAGTTCAGAAACTTCGACAGGATCAAGCTCGTCATCTAATCATTACAACGGCTACTTTAAAAGCTCTGCTACTTCTACGGAACAGGCTACGAAGGTGGAACAGTCGACTAAGAATTCCGGAGAGAAGGTTTGTTATGGACGGATATAAAGCGCTGCTTATATCCGATCCAAGATATAAGATCTTCTCCAGGAAACCAAAGAGAAGACATTAGATGAGAAATCGCTCGATCCGCTCAATCCCGTTTACTCAACAGAATATGTTGGATACTCCACCACGTCAGATGTATGTTCACTTATTTTGGTGTTTTTTGCTTTAACAATTTAGTTTCAGTGGCCTGCCGAAGCGGCTCTAACGAATGAGGAAAAGTGTGCAATAAAACTGTCACAAATCTTTGGATGGAGAAAAGCGAGTGTTGTTACTTTCCAATTGTGCTCAAAACTAATACGTTAAACATTTTAGGCTGTTCGCGTAGTCAAAAATCACCCTAGGGTGCGTATTGT